TGTTCCATGCATCTGTGTCTCTGGATCTGTTTTGTTTATCAGTTTATTTTGTTCATTAGATTCCACATATGAGTGAGACAATGTAAAACTGAATCAGGAAGAATTAGAAAACCTGAATAGGCCAACAACAACTGATGAAACTGAAGCAGTAATAAACTCCCAGCCAACAAAAGCCCTGGTCGGGATGGCCTCACAGGGGAGCCCCACCAAGCATTCTACTTATTACAGCAGTCCCTTTAACATTTCTTGCAGTGCTGGTTTGGTGGTGACAAACTTCTTTAGCCTTTTTTTTTTGTCTAGGAAGCTCTTTATTTCACCACCTATTTTGAATGATAGCCTTGCTGGAAAGAGTAGTCTCTGTTTCAGATCCTTGCTTTTCATTTCCTTGAATACTTCATGCCATTCCCTTCTGGCCTGTGGAGTTTCTGATGAGAAATCAGCTGACAGCCTTATGGGAGCTCCTTTGTAGGTAGCAGCTTGCTTTTCTCTTGCTGCCTTCAAGATTCTCTCTTTGTCTTGAATTTTTGGCATTTATGATGTGTCTGAGCATGGGCCTCTTTGGGTTCAACATGTTCTCTATCCCTTGCTCACTTTCTTCACCTTCTGGCATTCCTGTGATGTGAATATCGTTATGTTTCATGTTGTCCCATAGCTCCCTTAAGCTGTCCTCCTGTTTTTAAATTTTTTTTTTTTTTTTTTGGTTCTCTGATTGAGTGATTTTTTTCTACTCTGTCTTATAATTCACTGATCAGATCCTCGGGTTCCTCTAATCTGTTGTTTATTCCTTCCAATGTATTCTTTATTCTGCTATGTCATTCTCAATTTCCTTCATAGTTTCCATATCTTTTCTCATGCTGTTGAGCATCCTTATAATCAGTATTCTGAATTCTATATCTGACAGATTGCCTATCTCCATTTCATTGATTTCTTCTGGAGAATTCTTCTGTTCTTTCATTTGGGGCTTGTTTTTTTCTCTCTCCATTTTGGCTGCCTGTTTTGGTTTGTTTCAATATATTAGGTAAATCTGCTATGACTCTCAGTCTTTTTGAAGGGTCTCTAGTGCAGGCCAATGCCAGATGCTGTTTGTGGCTGGCCTTCAGTACCCTGTTTAGAGCCTTCAGCAATCCACAGATTGTAGCTTCCTCTGCTGAGGCTAGGTGCGTTTGGAAAGGACCCAGCTGTACACTAAGGTCTGCTTTTCCTAGGCCTGGGTCCAGAAGCAGATCAGGCAAAGACACAAAACATCCAGAGATCCACCTTTGCCTGCAGACTGTTTGTTATTCTCAGTCTTTTAATGATCCTCAGGCTATAGACCACAGCAAGATGTAAACTCCACAGAGTGGGGCAAGAGGTTTTCCAACAGGGTGGGGCAATTGCTTGGCCCCAGGAAAAAGTTTTCTGGGCGGTAAAGGTCTGCCTGAGAAAGATGTCCTCAGTCTCTATGCAGTCTCCACTTTAGGTCCTTGGTTATGACGGTGCTATCCAGCTAGTCATCAGTTAATTATTCAGGATGTTTTTTCTACATTTTAGTTGTAATTCCAGTTTGGTCCCGGGAGAGTGTCAGTGTAGCTTCCACTTAATATGCTGCCATCTTGGAATCTCTCCTTGAAATCTTTTTACTTGTTTAAAATCTTCAAAATACTTTGCCACTTCGTTTCATATTAATTCTTTGGATGAATTGCGTTTTTGTAAAGAAATAATTGCCAAAAAATGGCTATTTTTCTGCAAGTATAATTTGGTTTTATGTACATGTTTTTTTCTATGTACATTTCATGACAGATGGCAACCTTAATTAAAGTTAGCCTAATTATAATATGCTGAAATTTATTTTTAAATTGAAAAAGAATTAAAACATCCAATAAACCTCATTTAAAGCATCCCTGTAATTAATAGATGATGCTTTTGAAAGACCAGGAAAGAGAGACAGAGAGTTGGGGTGGTTTTTAGTTCATTTTTGTTACTTTACCTAGAATCCATGGGTAAAACTAAGGAAAATTAGGGATCTTTCTTAAGAGTTTTGTATAGTCAAGACATTATCCAGAGGAACCAATGTCTAGTCTAGAATATTAGTGAAGGCACCTCAGATACCCAGTCCAATCCCATAATTTGTAGGTGGATGACATTGTGGCATAAAGAGAAAGAACTTGTGTAAGGCCTCACAGCTCATTTTTGACAGAACTGAGCCTTGAATCCAGGTTTGCTTCTTGTTGTTTTCATTTTACTGGTGTAGCTTAATCTTTGGATTCAAGGAACGAAACCTCACCAAACCAGTTTAAGCAAAAGAAGGAATTTATTGAAACTGCAGGAATAGCTCCAGGACTTGGTTAACTAGGAATCATGAGGGAATGGAACTGGGTTCTTGAAAGTCATTAAAAGTCAAGACTGCTGTTTCTCTTTCTCTCACTTTGAACAGAGGTCACCAGTTTTCAGCCTGTTGGGGAGATGTGTTCCTCAGATGTTTAGTTTGGCTAGCAGTCTGAAGTGTGCATGTGCATCAGAATTACCTGACTGCTCATTAAAACATTGATTGCTGAGTCCCACCCCAGAGTTTGTAATAAGTAAGCCTTAGGGTGGGTCTTGGGAAGTTGCATTTCCAGCAATTTCCCAGGTGATGCTGGGGGAACACACTTTGAAAACTACTAGGTTGAAAGAATTCTGAATTTCAGTCTCTTCAGACAGGGCATTTCCCTTCAGTTCACCTCACTCCTGTTGTCCTGCCCGATCCGGTTTGAGTATGGGAGCCCTGCCCAGCATTTCTCTTCCCATTGTTGCTTCAGTCTCTCTGCAGACCAATTTCCTCTTCTTTACTTGCACAGGGCACATGATGACTTCCCAAAATGGTGTCAGGCCCCGATGGCTACACCACCTCACAAGTCCACAACTCTCAAGTGGTTAGGGAGGGACAAGATCATAAAAACATGGCATCAGAGACACTGGAATGAAAGGGGAGAAGTTCAGGCAACTCTATCACACAGTGTTTCTGGGAACACAGGTATCCAACAAAATGCCAATGACTTAACCTAGTAGAAAGATCCACAGTTAAGAAAGTTTGTAAAATAATAGGTTAAACACAGTTAAATAGTTGAGTTTTTAGAATCTGTAAATATGCATTGTAACTCTCCAAAATGGTAATTGAGAATGCAACTTTTCCTACATTTTTTTTTTTTTTAATGTGCCCCAGGCATGAAACAGCTCTGGCCGCCAACACAGGCATCAAGCTAGGATGAACTAAAGACTGCCCCTGACTGATAGAGGACCAGCACCATCAATCACGTGT